TTATTAGGTCGACAGGGATACACTTAGAAAAGGGTGAAAAAGTCGACTCCATCCCAGAAGTCGACAACCAACAGAGCAAAAAACAACAAATCAAAGCAAAACACGCACAATCAAAGATCCAACACAAAATTCGAGAAAAAGAGTTTGAAGAACATGAAGAGCACGCAGGAATTTCAAAACCCAGAAAAACTGAAAAAGGAAAAATCGACAAAAAAATGAGAGATAAGAGAAAATAGTAAACTTACACATGATGGTTTAGTGGATTGGAACTCTGAAAGAGCTTGAAGTCGCTGGAAACGGAGAATGCCGGTGAAATCGAAAACACGAAAAGCGCCGGAAAGCTTGAGGAATCTGAGAAGGCAAGAAGTCTGAGAATGCGAAAAGTGCTTCTCTAAGGGATTGAGGCATATTTATAAACAGTAGTATTGGATGTTGACCGTTAGATTAGAAAAAGATCTAAGGGTCCCGATGAAGCTCGGAATTCGAGGAGTCGGCGGTTGAGGTGACGCGCATCACTTCAGGGATTTTGAAATTTGAAATTCAAAAAGGTCTGTCAGAGTGTCAGACTTATCCAAAAGGTAATCATAAAGGATGAGAGGGTATTCTAGCAAAATGACGAGGCGTGTCATAGTCATGATGAGTAAAAGCAGACATAGCGACTTAAGTCGAACAAAAGCAACACTTAACCACCAAATTTACTCTCAAGCATTCAACTGCTTAGAGTAATTTTTGGGGGGGACTAGATGATATAGCCATATAAGGATAATCCGGTCCAGAGGTTCTCTACTCGACCGGAGAATCATCCGAACCACTTATATGTCGACATGATGATGACGACATGCTCAAGTCGACTCTTTCAAAGTCGACTCTTCACAGGATGAGTGATGAGGATGGTGCAGGTTTCATGCAAGTCGACTCGGAGAAGTCGACTTGATGATAGTCGACTACGAGAAAGCCGACATCCGTCGGAGAAGACCAGCAAAGGCATAGTCTCCGAATAACCAAAAGATCCAGAAGTCAACCCGTCCATACTCCATGTCGACTCCTTATACCTCGAGACGTGAGATACACTAACGACTCGATACACTTGTAACATACCCAAGAATATGCATTCTCTATAGGATAAGAAGGAATCTTGTGATGACTCAGCAGCAAGGGGAGACGAATCGACCGGGGCAATTTAGACCTTACAGGTCAGCTGACCAGGGCATTTCAGGTACTTCAGGTAAATGTTCACTCCTATATAAAGGAGATAAGGTAACCCCAAACCCTAATTCTCATTCATTCCACACTCCCCTCATAGCTGCTGCGTAGCATTCCTTCATCACTCTCGTACTGACTTGAGCGTCGGAGGCTCTACGCCGGAAACACCTCCGGCGTTGAGTTTTTGCAGGTATTCTCGCGGTCTAGCAACGATTCAGAGGCGGTTAAAGCAGATCTGAGCTCAAATCCATCGGTTTGCTTCAGATCTAGAAGTAGACCCATCATATATATAAGTAGACCCATCAAAGGGTATTCTTCTTCGTTCAGATTGTGATTTGCAGATTTCAGTTGGTGTGACTCTGATTGGGCGACTTGTCCCACTACACGTCGTTCTCTTTCGGGCTGGTTTGTCCGGCTTGGTCATTCACCCCTTTCTTGGCGCACCAAGAAACAACACATTGTAGCCCGGTCTTCTGTCGAGCCCGAGTATCGAGCTATGGCGACCCTTACTTGTGAGTTGAAATGGTTGAAGGGTTTACTTCACAGCCTTGGCGTCGCTCATTCTCAGCCCATGCGGATTCATTGTGACAGCCAAGCAGCTCTGCACATTGTTGCTAATCCTGTAGCTCATGAGCGCACGAAGCATATTGAAGTCGATTGCCATTTTCTTCGTGATGCTCTTGTTCAAGGTCTCATTTCTACCGCTCATGTTTTCCCTCATTCTCAATTGGCGGACATCTTCACCAAGGTCTTGGGAAAACGCGAGTTTGATTTTTTTCTTGGCAAGTTGGGCATCCGGAATCCGCATGCTCCAACTTGAGGGTGGGTGTTAGAGTGATTTTGTGAATATTGTATTTTTGGTATAGATAGATTTTGGTATCTTAGAGATTTGATGTATATTGGTTTTAGGGCTTACTTTGTATCTTTGTATATTCGGTCCTTGTGAATATCAAAAGCAAGGTTTTGGGGAATAAATTATTTTTACATATTTGTCAAAAATTTACTTGTTTGTTTTTTTAATAGGAATGAAAATTCATTAGAGATGTTGCTTTTTCATGTCATTTAGAGCCATGAGTCCTCTGGCTAGTCCTGTACAATATTGTTG